ACAAGAAAGAAAATGAGAGCAGCCAAGGAATAGAGATTACCCACTCAGTATACGCAACTAAGTAAAAACTGAGAAAATAATATACTGTCATATGAAAATTGAAGAGCTGAAAGGCTGTGACCTAATAGTATCTTCACAGTGTTCTGAGTAAGTGATGTGAGCAATGAGAAAGTTTAAATTACTATAGGACTGCCTTCCAGGCTAGCCAACTCCATGCACTGTATTTCTTTATTTTTTGAACCATTCATTTATTCAATAAACTATATTAAGCTTCCACTAATATGAGGCTGCTATGAACTATAAATACAATGACACCTTCATCAGACTTAAGTAAAAGGTAAGAAGAGAAAAGAAAGAAAAAAAATAAAAGAAGAGAAGAGAAAAAGAAAGAAGAGAAAATAAAATAAAAGACATAATGAACTTTACAGAAAATAAGGTAACATGTGTATGTCTAAATCTTCCAGTAAAATCTAATCAATTTTTGTAACCCAAATACCACTTTCTTATTAAAGTGAATTAAAATATCAAAGATGTTTAATCTTCAACAGGCACCTTTTCTTTACCAGAAGATATAAGGAGGTGTTACTCTCAGAGTCATATTGGAGCCAACTCTGCATTTGCACAAACTTCACAGTGAGTGCCTTCTTAGATTTTGTGCTCCAAGTGCCTCACTCACCTCTCCCTAGTCCTGAACCTGCTTTCTCCCTCCACATCCACTCTGTCCCCAGTAGCTGGAGAGTTATCTATCCTATATAATAAAAGGCTACTATGCAAAATAGACCGAATGCAGAACAACCAAACTGGTCACTATGATGTGTGCTGACCACCAGGGGGCAGGCACAGAACATGTCGGATATCAGCAGCAGGCAGCAGAGTATGGAATATGGCAGATGTCAGCCTTGGAGGGGTGGTGGAGCAGGTGAGAGGGGGTGCCAGACCAAGGCGGGGCACTGATCGCTGTCATTGGGGCTAGCCTCTGGTGGTTACCGAAAATTCTTTGCTCCCGCATGCTGTGGTCCTGCCCAGCGCTCCCACCTGCTGCTGGCACTGGCCCCGCTCGCACCCACTGCCAGCACCTGAGCCGCCACTCACACCTGCTGCTGGCCCCAATCACTCAGTGCCATCAGCAGGTACAAGTGGCGGCTGCCGGCCCTGATCACCCCTCAGGTCTTCTCCACCTACCCCTGCTCCTGAGTGGCAATCGGGCCAGCAACTGCCTCTTGCACCCACTGCCAGCACCAGTCCTGATCACTCTGTGCCATTAGCGGGTATGAGCAGCTACAGGCCCCAATCGCCCCTGAGGGCTTCTCCACTTCCCCTGCTCCTGAGGGGCGATTGGGGCAGCAGCCACAGCTTGCACCATCTGACAGTGCCAGCCCCACTCCCACCCACTGCTGGTGCTGATCCCAATCACTCTGTGCCATCAGCAGGTGTGAGTAGAGCAGGTGCCATCAGCATGTGGGAGCGGGGCTGCTGGCAGACATGAGACCAGGGGCCACAGTGGGAGGGGCTAAGCGGGGTGTGGAGGATGAGCCAAGACCCGCCCCTGTGCTCACAGCAGCCTTGTGACTCACAGTTCTTTTCAAGGTGCACGAATTCATGCACTGGGCCCCTAGTAGTAGTATAAAATGCTAATACTTAAAGAGCTTTCTAAGTCCCTGTTTTATTTAGTAAATATAATAATAGATTAATGCTAATGTCCCATTACAAAAAAATAGTACCACTTTTCATTTTTAGAAAAGGTATGTTATATGAAATTTATACATTTAAATTATA